ACTTTTTTATTGAATCAAGTAGAATACATTTTATTATTAATCCTTTTTTTTTTTTTTATTTGCGCTTACCAATTTTTAAAATATTTCCTCGAAATTACTCTTAGATACTTTAAATACGTCTAACAGTTAATAAATATTTTTAAATCTATGGAATAATTTTAAAACCTAACAAACCCCCATAAAATAATAATTTAAGTTAAAAATCTAAAACTAAAAGAAAGTATTTTTGTTCATTTTTATCGACAACTTTGCTATTGCTGAATAATTTTATTAAAATGTTAGCTTAAAATGATTTAAACTTTTTTTTTAATCTGAATTTTTTCTACTTGTAAATAATGAGCTTATTTAATTTTTCTATAATTCAAACTTTTATATCAACAGTGTGCATTTTTTAAAATACTTTATTAAATGTTAAAATAATCATAAATTACTCATTAAAATTTCGCTCAAAAATATCTTTAAATATACTCAAACAAAAAATTTTTTGCTCGACGCAAAAGTTGAGCAAAAATTTTTTTCTTTATTCTAGATCCATGTTGACAGTGCAGGCTTTCACAGGAAGACGTGCGATTTCACATCTTTATATGACCACGCAAAAAAAAAAAAAAAATGTTTTAACGATTTGACCACGGCATATTTTTAAAATTTAAAAACGCGCTACAAAAACTTACCTAAACTTATCTGAAAAAAAAATTTTAAAAAATAATAAATATTAACGAAAGAGAAAATAAAAAAAATACTTAGTTAAAGTAAAAACACAAAAAAATTTTGTTTCAACATTTGTATATATTTTTTATTTATTTAATATGTTCAAAAGTTAAATATTTCTCATAAAAAATACACAGTTATATAAAAAAAATAAAAAAAATTTTATTAATACTTTTTTTTAAATGAATTAAAAGTGTTTTTTTTTTTACTTCATTAAAAGCGTTTCAATAATATAAAAGCATTTAAGATCAAACTTATTAAATTGTAACAGTTTTTTAAAACTTTTTTTTTTTAATGAAATTTTGTTTATCTTTTTAAATGCATTAACTTTAATCATTATTATATTTAAATTCGTTAAAGAGACTTTTGTAGTCGTAGAATGTCATTGTTTATAAAAACAAAACAAATTTTATTTTTAAATAAGCTTTATTTTAGAAATGAACACTTGAAAAATTTATATGTTTTAAATTAAAAAAATATATACAACTGTCAATTATATATAAAAAAACAAAACTTTTTTTCAGTAAATTGTTACTTTATTTAAAATCATATCGCTAATATAAAAACATTTGTTAAGAAGTTTTGATGTAATTAATTTCACTTATTTAGAATATTTTTTATTTAGCGCATTTCTAAAATGTTTTTTGAATTAGCCACGGTTAAACCGTCATAGCAAAATGTAACTTGCGTGGTCATATAAAGACGTGAAACCGCACGTCTTCCTGTGAAAGCTTGCAGTGTATTTTTTGGAATGCCATGTTTTATACCAACCATTTTCATTGCAGACTTTGACAATCCTTCATCAATTTCCCTTAAAACAGCATACTTTTCTTTAATTGATTTTGTGTTCATTTTTCTCTTTACAGCAACAGTAGCACTGATCTCTATAATAACTGGATAGCGCATCTCCTAATAAAATTTCGAAATTTTTGAAGCCAAAAGACGCCATATTGGAAAGCCCCAGAATTTATAAATCCGTAGTTGCGTTAAACTTATATGCGGATTTCGCTTGATAAATAAAAAATGCAAAAACCTTATAAATGCATTGA